AATCCCAGCACTTTGGGAGGCCAAGGTGGGCAGATCATGAGGTCAGGAATTCGAGACCAGCCTGACCAATGTGGTGAAACCCCATCTCTACTAAAAATACAATAAAAAATTGGTTGGGCGTGGTGGTGTGCGCCTATAATCCCAGCTACTTAGGAGGCTGAGGCAGGAGAATCGCTTGAACCCTGAAGGCAGAGGTTGCAGTGAGCTGAGATTGTACCATTGCACTCCAGCCTGGGTGACAGAGCGAGACTTGGTCTCAAAAAATATATATATATGTGTGTGTGTATGCACATATATAATACATGTACGTGTGTGTGTGTGTGTGTGTATTTTTTGTTGTTGATGATGTAAAATTGAGACATAGTCTTCCTCTGTTGCCCAGGCTGAAGTGCAGTGGCACAATCATGGCTTACTCAAACTTCTGGCCTCAAGTGATCCTCCCACCTTCACCTCCCAGAGTGCTGGGATTACAGGTGCACACCAGTGTGCCTCACTTTTTCTCATACTTTTGTCACTGTACACTCTTTGATTGCCTCTTCATATTTTCTATAGCAAGTGTGGTACTTTTTGGATTTGTAATATTAGTTACCGGATTGTCAGCACTCCTTGTATTTAATGGTTTAATGATTTTGAATATGACACTTCCCTTGAAAGTCAGCTTAATTCTCCTTCCCTATAATATGGGATGGACTCAGTGACTTTTTTTTTTGAGACAGGGTCTTGGTTCATCACCCAGACTACAGTAGAGTGGCTTGATTATAGCTCACTGCAGCCTCAGCCTCCTGGGCTCCAGTGATCCTCCCACCTCAGCCGCCTGAGAAGAGAGGACAACAGGCGTGTGTTGTCCAGTTGGCCAACTACACATGGCCAGTGACTCACTGCTTTTTTATTTTTTATTTTTTTTGAGACAGTCTCACTCTGTTGCCCAGGCTGGAGTGCAGTTGCACAATCTCAGCTCACTGCAACCTCTGCCTCCTGAGTCCAAATGATTCTCCTGCCTCAGCCTCCTGAGTAAGTAGTAATTAGTTTTATTAATGAATAAGCATTAGACTAGACTGTGATAATGAGCATCACAGGCAGTCCACCAGAGTGATACTAAAGACAAAAAACACCAGGCTGGGCACGGTGGCTCAAACTTGTAATCCCAGCACTTTGGGAGGCCAAGGTAGGTGGATCACTTGAGGTCAGGAGTTCAAGACCAACCTGGCTGACATGGTGAAACCCTGTCTCCACTAAAAAAAAGAAATAACTGGGCATGATGGTGTACACCTATAATCCCAGTTATTTGGGAGGCTAAGGCAGGAGAATTGCTTGAACCTGGGAGGCAGAGGTTGCAGTGAATAGAGATCATGCCAGTGCACTCCAGCCTGGGCAATTGAACGAGACTCTGTCTCAAAACAAAAAAACAAACAAACAAACAAAACAGAACATTTTTTTTTTTTCCTGAGATGGAGTCTGGCTCTGTTGCCCAGGCTGGAGTGCAGTGTCAGGATCTAGGCTCACTGCAACCTCTGCCTTTTTAGTTCAAGTGATTATCTGCCTCAGCCTCCCAGGTAGCTGTGATTACAGGTGCCTGCCACCACACCTGGCTTTTTGTTGTTGTTGAGGGATGGAGTCTTGCTCTGTCCCCGTGATCTCGGCTGACTGCAACCTCTGCATCCTTGGTTCAAGCAATTCTCCTGCCTCAGCCTCCTGAGTAGCTGAGACTACAGGCATGAGCCATCATACCCAGCTGATTTTTGTATTTTTAGTAGAGACGGGGTTTCACCATGTTGGCCAGGATGGTCTCCATCTCTTGACCTCATGATCCTCCTGCCTCAGCCTCCCAAAGTGCTGGGATTACCGAAATGAGCCACCACGCCCGGCCCGATTTTTGTGTTTTTAGTAGAGATGGGGTTTCACCATCTTGGCCAGGCTGATCTTGAACTCCTAACCTCGTGCTTCACCCACCTACGCCTCCCAAAGTGTTGGGCGTGAGACACCGCGCCTGGCAGAACACCCTTTTACATAGGAAGGTAGATACAGTCCATTAGCTACCAATTAATATTCTTTACCCCCCAAAAAAGGAAACTTATCTTTTTTTGTTTGTTTTATTTTTACTTTTTGCTGGAATTACAGACACACATCACCACACCCAGCTAATTTTTTTTATAGTTTTAGTAGAGATGGGATTTCATCATGTTGGTCAGGCTGGTCTTGAACTCCTGACCTCAAATGGTCCACCCACCTTGGCCTCCCAAAGGACTGGGATTACAGGCGTGAGCCACCGCACCCACCCCCAAATTTTTAAAAAATAGTTTTATTTAATAGTTGAACCATCAGTGGTTAGTTCTGATCCGCATTGCCTGTCTGTAGATTTGTGAAAGTGGTAACAAGTATGTAGGTAACCAAAGCATAGAGTTTGTTTGGTGACTCTTCATCCTCATTACTTTTTCTGGACAACTGTACATGGATATGGTATGGGACATTCCTTGTTCCTTTGGCGCAAACAGCTTTTTTGAGCCTGGCATTAATGTACCCACTGGAGTCCCCATCTCCTTCATGGCAAATTTCTGGATCTCTTTGTGTGCCTGAGGGGCACTTTTTAAAGTCCACTCCATGGATGTGCTGGTGTATCCTGGGGTCACCACCTCTTTAATGGTGGAATGACCCCTCTTTTTGCCACCCTTCTTTGCAGGAGCCATTCTGCCAAACCCCAGTTGGAAAAGGTGGCATCAAATTTCAGCATGAGGTTTGGAGGCTACAAACATCCAAACCATAGCACCCAGTAAAACTCTTTCTTAAAAACATGGGTAATAGGGCGGGCGTGGTGGCTCACGCCTGTAATCCCAGCACTTTGGGAGGCCAAGGCAGGTGGATCATGAGGTCAGGAGATTAAGACCATCCTGGCTAACACGGTGAAACCCCGTCCCTACTAAAAATACAAAAAATTAGCTGGGCGTGGTGGGATGTGCCTGTAGTCCCAGCTACTCGGGAGGCAGGAGAATTGCTTGAGCCCGGGAGGTGGAGGTTGCAGTGAGCTGAGATCGCACCACTGCACTCCAGCCTGGGAGACAAAGCGAGACTCCATCTCAAAAAAAAAAAGAACATGGGTAATAATTGGGCCAGGTGTGGTGGTTCACACCTGTAATCCCAGCACGATGGAAGCCCGACTCAGTGAGCCGAGGTCACACAACTGCACTCCAGTCTGGGTGGAGACTCTGTCTCAATTAAAAAAAAAAGAAAAGAAAAGGGGAAGGAGAGGGCAGTAGCTGCTGAGGTCTAGAACTGTCCAGCATGCTGCGTGGACAGCGGTGGGAGGGGATATTTACAGGTGAAGGGGAAAGAGCTAGTTGAGAGTGATTTGTGGTCACTGATGGACTGAGAGCTTAGGAAGGCAAGTGCCCAGCACAGACAGTGAATTAGCTCTGAATTGGAGGAGTGGGGAGGGAGGCCTGGATGCCCTGTGATGAGGATGGGAGCAGATGCATACAAGGTTGTACAAGAGGCACAAGGTGGGAGAATCCTGTCTGATATAATCTTTTTTTTTTTTGAGACGGAATCTTGCTCTCTCTCCCAGGCTGAAGCGCAGCAGCACAATCTCAGCTCACTGCAACCTCTGCCTCCCAGGTTCAAGTGATTCTCTTGCCTCAGCCTCCTGAGTAGCTGGGATTACAGGCCCCCAGCGCTATGGGCAACTAATTTTTTGTATTTTTAGTAGAGACGGGATTTCTTCATGTTGGCCAGGCTGGTCTCGAACTCCTGACCTCAGTGATCCACCCGCTTTGACCTCCCAAAGTGCTGGGATTACAGGCATGAGCCACTGCCTGCTGCCTGTGCCTGACAGAATCTTTTCTCTGTGAAGCATCATCAGTTCATGCAGAGATCCTGGAGGCCTCCTTGAGACTAGGACTATTATATCTTTGGCACCTGAAAAGAGGGTGTTACAGATTAAATTGTATCACTCTCTCCCAACAACCAAATCCATATGTGGATGTCCTACCCCGCAATATCTCAGAATGTGAATGTATTTGGAGAGAGGTAATTAAGGTTAAATGGGGGCTTAATCTAATAGGACTGGTTTCCTTATACGAAGAGGCAGAAGCCTGGACAACATAGCAAGACCCCATATCTACAAAAGTAAAAAAAAAAAAAATTAGCCAAGCATGGCATTACATGCCTATGGTCCCAGCTACTTGGGAGGCTAAGGTGAGAGGACTGCTTGAGCCCACAAGCAATCCTCCATGTGTTTGCATCACTTGGTGTTTACTGCAATCATGCAGTGAACCATGCTTGTACTACTGCACTTCAGCCTAGGTGACAGAGCAAGGCCCTGTCTTTATGAAAAGGAAGGAGGAGGAGGAGGAAGAAAAAAGGAGGAAGAAGGAAAGAAGGAGGAGGAGGGAAGAGGAGGGAGGTGGAAGAGGATGGGAGACAGGAGGAGGAGGATGATGAGGGGGAAGAAAGGAGGAGGAAGAAGAAGCAGAAGAAGGAGAAGGAGGAGAAAGAGGAGGAGGAAGAAAGGAAGGAAGGAGAAGAAGGAGGAGGAAGAGGGGAAGAAGGAGAAAAGGGAGGAGAAAGAGAAGAAGAAGGAGGAGGAGGAGGGAAGGAAGGAGGAGGAGGTGGAGGAGAAGGAATGCCAGGGAGAAAAGACCAAGTGAGGACACAGGTAGAAAGCTTGTTTGCAAGACAAGGAGGACCGCCTCCAGAGAAACCCAACCTGCTGACAGTTTGATCTTGGACTTCCAATCCCCAAAAATGTGGGAAAACTCATTTCTTCTGTTTAAGCTGCTCAGTCTATGGTATTTTGTCCCAGCAACCCTAGCAAACAAATAGAGGGAGGAAGAGGAAGAGAGAAAAGAAGTAAGGATTTTGTGTTGAAATCCCCAGCATCTGTGGCCCTTAGAGCTTTAGAATACATATGTGTGTGTGTATATATGCATGTGTGTGTGTGTATGCTACTTCCACTCAGAGGATGGGACTTTTGGATTTAGACAGACTTGAGTTTTAGATCCAGCAAGTCATATAACCTTCTTGAGTTTTAGAGTTTTATTTGCAAAAAGGAGATAACAAAACCCACCTTGGAGGGTTTTGTGAAAGTAAAATGAAATGAAATCCATAAAAACACTGAGCACACTAACTAATAAACATTAACTGGAAAGGTGGTGTATAATTAGGCTACATTATTTTGTTAGTATTGTTGGAGATAAATGAATGCCTGAGGCATAAGTGCCTGCATTCACACCTTGTCATCTGGTGAGGATGACATTCTAGGGAGCCGGGTGGACATGGTACAGACATTGACTCACCTACAGGGCTTTGCACTGACTCTGGGGTAAAACCACCATAAAACATAACCCCAGGTAACCAAATTCAGAGAGGCCGCTTTCTAATATGTTTGTACCCAGCCATGCTCCTGGCATAAAGCAGGCAATTAAAAAGCATTGGCCAATGTGTGTATGAAGGAAGAGTGCACACTGAGCGAGTTAAAAAGACTGAATATTTATCAGCCTCTGTTAATGGGTCTGTTAGTTAACCCTTTCAGGGTTGTAAGTAATAGCAACCATTCAAACCAGCCTAAGCCAGGAAATTTAAATACATTAAAAAAAATTTTTAACGGAAGAGGAATCTGTTGGTTTGAAGACTGACAAGTCCGGTGTGTGCTTCAGGTATGGCTGGATCCAGGGACGGTGGGATGTATATGGCAATCTCTCGTCTTTTTCTTTCCTGTACTAGCTTTATATCCAGGCAGGTGCCCTTAATGTAGTGGTCTTGGCAGCCCCTCCTGAATCCTAGCTTCTATACACCCAGAAATTCCAGAGCAAAGGGACTCTCTTTCTTTTTTTTTTTTTTGAGACAGAGTTTCACTCCTGTTGCCCACATGGAGTGCAATGGTGCGATCTCACCTCACCACAACCTCTGCCTCCTGGTTCAAGTGATTCTCCTGCCTCAGCCTCCCATGTAGCTGGGATTACAGACCCCCACCCCCACGCCTGGCTAATTTTGTATTTTTAGTAGAAGCAGAGTTTCTCTCTGTTGGTCGGGCTGGTCTTGAACTCAACCTCAGATGATCGCCTGCCTTGGCCTCCCAAAGTGCTGGGATTACAGGCGTGAGCCGCTGCACCCTGGGGAATCTCTTTTTCAAACAGTGCCAGCTGGAGGCTTGGACTAACTGAGCCACGCAGCCAGGGTCACAGGATCATCCTAATCCAATCACCCCAGCTCCAGGGCCTAGGAGTAGGGGAGGAATAATTTCTCAGAGGAGAAACAGGAAGCTTTCCCAGCAGAAGGGCAAGACTGGCTGCCAGGCAGGCACAGACCACACTGCCCACTGGACTAAGTATCTATTTTATTTATGTATTGTTATTATTATTATCTTGAGACAGAGTCTCCCTCTGTCATCCAGGCTGGAGTTCAGTGGCATAGTCTCGGCACACTGCAATCTCCACCTCCCTCCCAGGTTCAAGTGATTCTTGTGCCTCAGCCTCCCGAGTAGCTGGGATTACAGGTGCGCACCACCACACCTGGCTAATTTCTGTATTTTTAGTAGGGACAGAGTTTCACCATGTTGGCCAGGCTGGTCTCAAACTCCTGACCTCAAGTGATCCGCCTACCTCGGCCTTCCAAAGTGCTGGGATTACAGGCATGAGCCACTGCACCCAGCCTGCACTAAGTATCTGGACAGAAGTTATGTAATTCCTGGGTGACCAGGTAAAACAGACAGAAGCATGCCACCTGGTGGGTACATGGGGATGGGGAACCAGAGCTGTGCTGGGTCCAGGCAGCACCAGGGCCATTGGGAATTTTAAGGAGGCTGAACCTGCACCCTGGCCAAGAAAGCATGTAATAGATTAATTGCAAAAATGGCCCTGATTCTCCATCTATCCCTGAATTGCACCCTGTGTCGAGTGGCTTTGTGACATCATCCAGTAGAGCCTGTTTCCCTTCCCTTAGAATCGGGGCTGGCCTTGTCATTTGGAAGGACAACAGGCTGTGGCAGAAGGCACGGTATACCAGCTCTGAGCCTCAGCCTCAAGCCATCTTCTGTGCCTTGGCTTGTTCACCCTCTTTGACCCCTCCCACACACTCATGAAAAGAATCCTGGCTATTTGGGTACAAAATGAGAGACCCCTCAGGGCTTTCACAGCTTTTCCAGCCAAAGGTACCAGACACGAGATTGCTTGGTGTGATTACCGAAGCTGCCTAGCTGACTCACAGCTGGCTGAGGATGCAGAGCCTAGCTCAAATCAGAGCCAGGAGTCTCTGAGCACTAAGTGATTGCTGTTTGAAGCCAGTGAGTTTTGGGACAGTTTGTTATACAGCGTTGTAGCAAACAGATATCCAATACAAGGCATGTGAAGGAGAAAACCTAGCTGGTGCTTGGCCTGCCACCTGTGCAATCAAGAGATTAGGTCTCCTGGAAGGGACACGTGTTTCTAACTTGCAGGAAAATGCCATATGGGCTAACCAGGCCTGAAGATCAAGCCTGTTGGAATCTATAATCTCTACAGATCTCATGCAGGGTTTTTGTTTTTGTTTTTCTTTTTTAGATGGAGTCTCAGCCTGTCACTCAGGCTGGAGAGCAGTAGTGGGATCTTGGCCCATTGCAACCTCCGCCCTACCCCCGGGGGTCAAGCAATTCTTCTGCCTCATTCTCCCAAGTAGCTGGGATTACAGGTGTGTGCCACCGTGCCCAGCTAATTTTTTGTATTTTTAGTAGAGATGGAGTTTCACTATGTTGGTCAGGCTGGTCTTGAACTCCTGACCTCAGGTGATCCACCCGCCTCGGCCTCCCAAAGTGCTGGAATTACAGGTATGAGCCACCTTGCCTGGCTTGCAGAGGTTTTAACTGACCTCCTGACATGTTTCTCAGAGGCACGGGCACTGCAAACTTTTGGAAATGATTCCGCTTGAGCTGCTAGGGAGAAACGAATCCCACTAGCCACATCCCCCTTGCAGTATATATTTTGGTCTTGATGTTTTTGCATAGTGGTTGTGTGCAAGGAACAAAAAAAGATGGCTTCAAAAAGGGGCCTGGGGGACTAGGAAGAACTGAACAGGTCCCCAGTACTGCCCTGGTGCAAAGTAAGCCATTTGATTGCAGTGGGAGAAAAATAATCCAAGAGATAGGATTAAAGCCCATTTCTGACTTTTCTGGGGGGAAAAAAAGAAAGGTGCAATGGGGGAAGCTGTCTGATGCAAGGATCTGCCAAACAGAGAATTAAAAAAAGTGAAACAGGTCCCACACCCTCCCTCCCTGCCCACCACGCCACCTGCTCCTGTTCCTGCTCCTGGCATCCAGGTAACTCCTGCTGTATGCCTAGGCACATGTAAGTGACCACTTGGATCCCAAATACATCCCAGATTGTGTCATCTGCCCCCAAACCTGCCCTGGTCTCATGACTTGCTCCAGGGAACATCATCACCTGTCTGGGTGAGAAGTCTGGCAGTTGGCCCCCAGATCCTGCTCACCTCCCGCCTCAACACCTCCCCATTCTGTCTGCTCTACCTTGACCATGCCTATTCCCCTCCCAGGCTCCCCACTTTCAGTTGGGCCACCTCTGTAGAAGGTGTCGACCTTCTACGGAGGTTTCATGTCCACTGCATGAAACCTCCATTCTGCAGTCTGACATATGGGGTCTACCTCCTCCAGTCCCTCCTTCCCTGCGTCTCTCCCCGGCCTCTCTTTTCCTGTGCCTCTGCAGCCAGCTTCCAAGGCCCAGGCTGGGCGTGCATGTCTATGCTGGGCTCTCCCCCCTTTTGTGCCCGCCTGCAGGGTGGTGCTCAAGGGTGTTGGCCTCCTCACAGGAACTTGCTAGGAGCAGGATCAGAAAGACGGTCTGCATGTCCTAGGAACGTGGCCACTTTGTAATCCACACTCCAGGCCCCTTCCCCGAGAGCCCAGGAGCAAGGCGGGAAGTGGACCTAGGAAGCAGATGGGCACAGTCCTCCCAGGGCAGGCACACTCAGAGCCCACTCCTAGGGCATCTGGCCCCGGGCCTAGGGGTAGGAACAAGGGCTGGCAGAGGAAGGCCCGGCCACAGCTTAGAGGCTGAGGTAGCTGCAGGAGAGGCTGAAGGTGTGTTCAGAGCCTGGGGCACAACGGCCCCAAACCTCAGCAGTGTCTGGGCCACCCTCTCGGCCTCCATCTCCCTGCTCAGGCTACAGAGGATGCGGTGTGGCCACTGTCACCAGGCCAGGGGTGAAACCATCCCGGAGCTTCGTGGGCCCTCCCCGGCCTGCAGGTCACTCAGCGCTCGCTGGGGAGGGGAAACACAGGGGTAGGGGGTGGTCAGTGTTCCCAGAAGCCTGCGACACCTTCCCTGCCTCTTCCTACCCTAGACAGCCAGCACTGAGGCTGCAACCCACCCATCAGGGCATTAGGGAGACACATTGCTCACTGGGTACCCTTTTCCAGCCCTGGCCTCGTTGAGGATCCCTTCATTTGGCCTCTGGCTCCCACCAAAGGGACCCTCAGGTCTCTGCCAGGGCTCACCTCGAATTTGCTCATGAACTCTGCGAAGATGCCGAAGAAAGCCTCGGAGGTGGTGGCCTTGGAATCCTCCCCGAAGAAGGCCAGCGCCTTGCCCAGCTCCTCCATGGCCTCACGCTGCAGCCCGTCCAGCACCCGAAGCACTGGCTGGGCCGTCTCCAGGAAGGACTGACAGGCCTGGGTTAAGGAAACAGCCAGCCCGCTGGTGCCCTCAGGGTCTTGGGTGGTGGCCCCAGACAGACAGGCCCCTAGCTGCCCCATTCCCACTTAGCCTAAGTCCTTCCAAGGCCAGGCCCTGTGTCCAATGTGGAACAGGACCCTGTTCAGGGACTGCAGTCCCACTGGCCACTAAGCTCATCCTGCAACTGGCTGCAGCCATTCCAGCCTCAGGCCTTTCACCCCTGCTCTTTCTGCAGGCTCTCTCTTCCCTGGGTCTCTGATCAGAGGTCTCCACCGCCACCTTCTTCCCCAACTACCCACTTACAGTCCCTCTGTCACCTGTCACTCTCTAGGCCTTACTTTTTTTTTTTTTTTTGAGCTTAGGTCTTATTCTGTGGCTCAGGCTGGAGTGCAGTGGCATGTTCATGGCTTACAGGTAATTGCAGCCTCTACCTCCCAGGCTCAAGTGATCCTGCCACCTCAGCCTCCTGAGTAGCTGGGATTAGAGGCTCACACCACCATACCCAGCTAATTTTTTTATTTTTAAAATAGAGATTGGGTCTATGTTGCCCAGGGTGGTCTCAAACTACTGGACTCAAGTGTTCCTCCCGCCTTGGCCTCCCAAAGTGCTGGGATTACAGGCATGAGCCACTGCATCTGGCCTTAGGCCTTACCCTCTTTTCTAGCGCATTTTTTGTGATCTGAAATTGTTCACAAGTTCATTTCCTACCGCCTAAGTGCAAGCTTGTTCCCTGCATACAACTCCAGCGCTCAGAATAGCATCTGATACATGCTCAGTCCTGCAAAAAGATTCAGTGGCTGAATTGCTATTGTTTTTTCAGCACTTAAAACTGTGCCAAGCTTTGTTCCAAGCCTGCTGAATTGTAACGCCTCTACCAGGTAGATTATCTCTATTTTACATGCGAACAAATTAAAGCACAGAGGACTTTAGCAACTGGCCCAAGATCACACAGCAAGCACTGTGGTGCCTGAGCCATGGGTGAACTCAATAGTGTCATAATCAATTAATGACCACTGTGGTAGGGGTTTTCACGACCTCTCTTTTTCCTGATGAGGAAACTGGGCTCAGAGAGGGTAAGTGACTTGCCCAAAGTCCCACAGCAGGCAAATGAGTCAGGACTTGGGCCTATGCCTGCCTGATATGCCAGGTCAATTTCCTTTGCAGAGGCTGCCTTTAATTAATTAATTAATGTTACATATTTATTTATTTTGAGACTGAGTCTGGCTCTGTTGCCCAGGCTGGAGTGCAGTGGCATCTTGGCTCACTGCAACCTCCACCTCCCGGGTTCAAGTGATTCTCCTGCCTCAGCCTCTGGAGTAGCTGGGATTATAGGCACATGGCACCATGCCCAGATAATTTTTGTATTTTTAGTAGAGATGGAGTTTCACCATTTTGGACAGGCTGGTCTTGAACTCCCGACCTCAGGTGATCTGCCCTCCTTGGCCTCCCAAAATGCTGGAATTACAGGCATGAGCCACTGCGCCTGGCCTGCCTTCATTTTATATTTGAGACAGCTATTCTCACCCAGTGCAGTGATGTGATCATATCTCACTGCAACCTTGAACTCCTGGGCTCAAGTGATTCTCTAGCCTGAGCCTCCCAAGCAGCTGGGACTCCAGGCATGCACCATCATGCTGGGCTCATTTTCAAATTCTTTTTTTTTGTTTTTAAGACACAGTCTCCCTGTTGCCCAGGCTGAAGTGCAGTGGTGCAATCTCGACTCACTGCAACCCCCATCTCCCAGGTTCAAGCAATTCTCATGCCTCAGCCTCTGGAGTAGCTGGCACTATAGGCAGGCACTACCACATCCAGCTAATTTTTACATTTTTAATAGAGACAAGGTTTCATCATGTTGGCCAGGCTGGTCTCAAACTCCTGACCTCAGATCATCCACCCGCCTCGGCCTTCCAAAGTGCTGGGATTACAGGTGTGAGCTACCGCACCCAGCCTCATTTTCAAATTCTTTTGCAGAGACACGTCCCTGTTATGTTGCCCAGGCTGGTCTCAAACTCCTGGTCTCAAGCAATCTCTTACCCTTGGCCTCCCAAAGTGCTGGGATTACAGTGCCTGGCCCAGAGGCTATCCTTGAATATGACCATCCATCTTCTCTCTGGGGACCTCCAAGCCCAAGGTAGCAGGCTGGTACCCCTGGACTGAGGGATGCTAGAGTGGACTAACCCTCACCTGAACAGCCTCAGTTTTCACATCTGCAAAACATGTGGGTGTTAAGTGGGTGAAAGGAGATGGGGGTGAGAAGCACTTTGTCCAACCTGCAGAAGAGTTTGCTTAGTGATTCTCTGTAGATCTCCTGCCTGAGAGGAAGTGGTGGGGGTGGATCTGACATCAAATTTCTACTCAGACACTCACTGCCACCAGACCCCACGTACTGCAATCAGAGATACATTACAGAGGCTTTCATCACCCACTGCACTGGTCACAGGCACAGCCCCGAGAGCTTTCCTCCTTACCTAGCTTCAGCCTTAGGGAAAACTCTGTGTTCCCTGCCAAGGGGTATTGGAGCCAGACAGCAGGAGCAGGGAGAAGTGCCACATGCCCTTCTTTCCTGTCTTCCCATCTGGGCTTCTGTCTCCCACTGGCCAGGCCCTGCTGGGGGGTTCACTGGGAATGTCCCACCCTCCCGGCTGCCTTTGGCTGGTAGGGCCTGACAGGCCACTCCTTGTAATCTTGAGACTTAGCTCTGGGCTCTACTGCCCCAGAGGACAGATGAGACCGTGGCTTTGGGGCACTCAGAAGAGCTCTGGCTTCAGTTACACACAAACTTGGCATAGCACTTGGATTATAAATGACCTAGAGCCAGGCGTGGTGGCTGATACCTATAATCCCAGCACTCCGAGAGGCTGAGGCAGGTGGATCACCTGAGGTCAGGAGTTTGAGACCAGCCTGGCCAACATGGTAAAAAAAACCCACCTCTATTAAAAATACAAAAATAAGCTGGGTGTGGTGGTGGGTGCCTGTAATCCCAGCTACTTGGGAGGCTGAGGCAGAAGAATAGCTTGAACCTGGGAGGCAGAGGCTGCAGTGAGCCAAGATCGCACAACTGCACTCCAGCCTGGGCAACAGAGCAAGGCTCTGTCTCAAAAAACAAAATAAAATAAAATAAGAAACCCAGGATGGAGCCCAGCATTGCAGCTCATGCTGTAATCCCAGTACTCTGGGAGGCTGAGGCAGGCAGATCACTTAAGCCCGGGAGTTTGAGACCAGCTTGGGCAATGTGGCAAAACTTTGTCTCTACTAAACATACAAAAACTAGCCAGGTGTAGCCTGGGTGACAGAGTGAGATCCTGTCTCAATCAATTAACCAATCCATCAATAACACAGGATGGAGCCCCTTTCAGGACCCCTGTGTGCACAGCAGCCTGTGCCCAGAATCTCTGTTGGGAGTCAAGGTCTCCAGTGGCCCCTGGAGCCATAGCCACTTCTACCCAACCACCCCAGGATCCAGCCTGGCGCAGGGACAGGCTGCTCAGAGGATGCCGACATGACCACTGCAAACTTGTCCTCGCTGGAGGGGGAAATGCTCTGGCAGGCGTCCTGTATCTCGCTGATAGTGCCATGGAGGTCAGCCAGGTCGCTGGTCAGGGCCCGTTGGTTCACTGTAGGGAAGAGGACAGAGGCCGCATGGGGCCGCTCTCCCAGCCCAGGACAGTATGCCTTTGCCCTCCTGCCGACCCACCCAGCATACCTTTGGCAGCCAGGGGCACGGTGGGCAGGTCCTGACCAAAGCCCAGGAGTTCAGGGAAGTGCTGGCTCAGCGATTTGGCAAGGATGTGCAGGAAGGTGGACTTCCCATCCACTGTCTTGGTGGAGTTCAGCTGCAAGTGACCCCCCACATACATCCTGGTCAAGGACCCCATCAGATATGGTCACGTGGGCTCAGCTTCTACTGGACTACTGTGGCATCAATGATCAATTCTTGGGATCTCTCTCTCTCTTTTTTTTTTTTTTAAATAGCAGGGTCAGCCGAGCACAGAGGCTCACTCCTATAATATCAACACTTTGTGAGGCTGAGGCAGGTAGACCACAAGGTCAGGAGTTCGAGACCAGCCTGGCCAATATGGCTAAACCCCATCTCTACTAAAAATACTAAAAAGTTAGCCGGGCATGGTGGCAGGCCTGTGGTCCCAGCTACTCGGGAGGCTGAGGCAAAAGAATCACTTGAACTCAGGAGGTGGAGGTTGCAGTGAGGCAAGATTGTGCCACTGCACTCTAGCCTGGGCAGACAGAGTGAGACTCCATCTCAAAAAAAAAAAAGGCAGGGTTTTGCTCTGTTGCCCAGGCTAGAGTGCAATGGCTCCATCACAGCTCACTGCAGCCTCAAACTCCTAGGCTCAAGTGATCCTTCCACTTCAGTCTCCTGAGTAGCTTGGACTACAGGCATGCATCATGCTTGGCTAATTATTTTTTGTAGAACTGGAGTCTTGCTATGATGTCCAGGCTGGTCTCCAACTCCTGGCCTCAAGCGATCATCCCACCTTGGCCTCCCAAAGTGCTGGGATTACAGGCATGTGTCACCACACCCAGCCCAGTCCCCAGCCTTTGACACTTCCTTTCCAACTCCCTTCCCTCACTCCAGTTTCCAGATCCTGGGAGTGTGTTCCCCTACTCCACCCCAACCTTTGCTACAGTCACATCCTGGCTTCAATGCAGCCACCTTTACCTGCTACAGGGAAAGCCCTCCTTGGTTACGATGTCCTCTCCTGCCCTCTGCCACAACTGAGCTAGGCTTGGCAGCAGCGCCTTGCTGGTAGAGCAAACCAGACAACTGCTGCTGGCTGGCCCCCTCACCTCTGTCAGAAAGTTGATCTTGAAGCCGGTGGTTTTATTGGTTTTGGGCTGTCCGTCGTTGAGATAGTTGCCCATGGCCAACACAAACTGTGGACAAGAAGGTGGGCATGTCCTGTCCTCACCCCAGCACCCACCCACCCTGCTGTCTGGATGGGCCTTCAGGCAGGAAGCCCCAGGAGACAGGGAAGCAGGTAGGGTGTCCAGGGAGGGTATGCCCACTGACCTCCAGGATCTTGGCGAGCTTTCGGCTGTTTTTGAGCTCCAGGGAGGCCTGGCGCAAGCATTCGAGGCTGCCTCGGATCTCCTCTGTCTTCTCCTGGAGGGTGGCCTGGAAGTGGAGGCTGCGCAGGCGCGTCTTGTATTCGGGAACGGACAGCATCTGCCTCCAAGGCAGAGCCAGATTCACCCATCCCCTGCCTGGGACCCTCTGCCCCACCGCAGGCTTTGGAGTGGGGGTCTGCTGGCTGCTTGGGCCCGATATTCCAGTAGGAAGAATGAGCACTACCCCTGGGGGAGCCCGCCTCCCATGTACCTTGGACCCCTGATACGACCTGGCTATTAAAGGTGTTAAGCTGGGACTCAGAGGCCTGGGCGGAATGGCGGCCCCCGGAGGGGCCGGGACCCCAGCATCCACGGTCACAGCGACAGCCCGGATGGAGCCGGCCTTAGGGCAGGGTTATGGCCACGGCACCTGCAGGACGAACTGGTCCGGCTCGCTGAGGCGGCCGGGCGCCTCGCGGAAGGCCTGGTAGCGCTGCTCCTCGTCGGCGTCGGGCGCAAAGAGCAGCAGCTGCGCCAGATGCGCGGGCTCCAGGCGCCGGGGCTCCATGCTCATCAGCACCTGACGCAGCTCCGCAGGGCTCAGCTTCAGGTGCGCCAGGAGGATGGCTGCGGGAGGGGCGGTGCGGTGAGCTGGGCGGGGCCAGGAGGGGGCGGTGCAGGGGTGGTGCCCGGATGGGACCCAGGACAGAGAAAGGCAGGGCAAGGGAAGGGAGAGGGCGGCCAGGGGCGGGGCCCAGGAGAGAGGGCGGGGCCCTAAGGCTGGAGGGACAAGAAACGGGGCGGGCACAAGAGGATGAGCTGAGGCGGGTTCCGGGTTGGGAGAGGACGGGCTTCAGGATTGGCCTGAGCTAAGGGGAGGAGCCTGGGAGGAAAGGGGCGGGGCAGCTCGCTGAGCTGGGGCCTGGAGAGGGCTGGGCCCGGCAGGAAGAGGGCGGGGCTTCCAGGTTAGGCCCAGGCTACAGCGGGAAGTCTGAAGGGGTAGGGGACAAGGAAAGCGGGTACAGTCGCGAGGGAGAGCCTGGGCTACTGAAAGAACTCTAGATGGGTTGGGGACAACAAACAGGGCGGGGTCTGCGGATAAACTGGGGCAGGGCCCGGGTGGAAAGAGGGCGGGGTCCTGTAGGGAGAGGGCCGGGCTTCGGGATGGGCCTGGGCTACTGGGAGGAATCGGGGGGGAGGAGCAAGAAAAAGGGGCGGGGAAGCTCGTTGAGCTGGGGGCGGTCAGGGCGGAGCTTCCAGATGGGCTCGAGCTACAGGGCGGAGACGGAAGGGAGGGGACAAGGAACAGGGACTGGGCATGCAAAGGGTGCCCTAGGGGGCCAGGGCAGGGGCAGGCCCAGAATAGAGACGGTCTTTCGGCGACCGATTAAAAGGTGAGGGCAGGGTTCTCGAGGCGCTAGACCAAGAAGGTGGGTGGGGTCTATGGGGGGGGTCCGGCCAGGGACTAGGGCGGGGCCTGCGAAGGGGAGCGGGGAGGCTGGAGGCGGGGCCAGAACTGGGGAGTTGATTACACAGTGAGGGCGGGGCCAGAACCTGCGCCCAGGTGGGATTTGGCTGGCTACCGGGCCTGAGAGGGGGCCTTCACTGCGCTAGTCAAGGGGAGTCCAGGTCTCCACCGCCTAATGTCTGTCATCCGTCCGTGCAGATCTGAGGCTCAGAGAAACGGACGCCGCCCGCCCTCTACATCCCCTGGGGGTGTGGTCCCAGGACCCTCACAGGTGTTGTAGGCCTTCTTGTGGGACAGGATCTCCACAACCTCTTTCTTCCGGAAGGGTTCGGGCCCCGGCACAGGCTCTGGAAAGGAAACTGACAGTTTACGAAGGGGGCTAGGCTGAGGTTGCGGTGGGAAAGGCTCGGGAGTGGTGCGGCCACAGCCAACAGCCACGATCTCCCCTAAGCACGACCTCGCTTAATCAGCTACACATGTCCATAGTCCTCTCATTCCTGGGGTCGGGGACCCTTAGGTCCTGTATGTACCCACTCGTGCCCTGTGCACCCCCCATACTGCAGGAGGTCAGGCCTTTCTGTTGTATCCTGGGACTGGCTGTCCCACCCAGCAACGACATGGAAATACCCAGGAAAGATTGAGGGCAGGGGAGCCCGAAAGATACATTTGTGGTTGCCGCCTGTCTACGATGTGACCGTGAGCAAATTACCTCCCCTCTCTGTGCTTCTTCATCAGGAAATGGGGGTGATCACAGTATCTCCATGATAGAGTTGCCATGAGATTTAGAAATGAGAGTCCCTGGTATTTGATCACTGCACAATAAATGCCAGCTTTTTGTTTGTTTGTTTGAAACAGAGTCTCACTATGTTACCCAGGTTACCAGGTCAGAGTGCAGTGGCGATCTCGGCTCACTGCAACCTCCACCACCCAGACTCAATTGATCCTCCCAATTCAGCCTCCCAAGTAGCTGGGACCACAGGCAGCCTCCACCATGCATTTTTGATAGAGATGGAGGTTTCGCCATGTTGCTCAGGCTGGGCTCGAATGCCTGAGCTCAGGAGATCTACCCAACTCAGCTTCCCAAAGTGCTGGGATGGCAGGCATGAGCCACTGAGCCCAGCCTAAATGCCAGCTATTAAATAACTCAGGGACTGAAGGCTTGAGGATGCATCAGGTTAAACAGCAGTCAGGGCAGCCCTCAGAGATGCTAAATCTGGGGCTGCCACAGATTGTGTGGTATCTGGGGTTCCCCCAAGGCCATCAGGCCACTCACTAGCAGGTTTCTGGGTGCCGAAGTGGAGCTCCAGATCGAGGTATTTCACCATGTCACTCAGCTTATCGTAGTCGGAGTCTTCCCCAAGCTGGGAAGGAGGATGGAAGTTCAGAGTAGGAGGAGCAGCAGCAGCTGGACTGGTCTCCCACTGCCCACCCTCTGAGGGCCACCCTGGGGGCTTCCCAAGGGGAAGCACCCATCAGGCAGTGGGATAAAGCTCAGAGCAGGAGACTGCAGAAGAAGCCAGATCATCCGAGTCACCAGTGCTGAGCCAGCGCCTCTTGGGATCAACTGAAACTCAGACTTGGAACTCTACCCATGCAGAAGCCAGCAAAGTGGGGCTGGAACTGGGGCATGAAGGAGCTGTGAAGAGGCTAGAGCCAAGTAAGGGGCTACTGGGGGTGGCTCAGGGGTCTGGCTCTGTTACCAGGTCTCCTTTGGGGGCAGTGAGTTCACTAGGGCTGCCCTGGGCAGAGAGGGCTGATGCTGGAAGCCCAGGGGCTGGGTGCGGGACACATGGCTATGAGGAATGGCGTAGATGAGAGGTGACAGCCTGGGGGTGGGGCAGGGAGTGAAGATGGGGTAGCTGCCACAGGGAGAGAACCCAAAGGGAGGGTAAGCAGGGGAATGAAGTCTTAGAACATGGCTGTGGGGCAGGGACACCGAGGATAGATTTGGGCTTGGCCAGATGTGTGGCCTGTATCCATCTGTCTACTTTTGGTAGCCAGTAGAAGAACTATGCTGTGGAGCAAGGCTTGAAGATTGGTCCAAGGTTGGCAGGAGTGAGGTCTCCAGGAGACCCAGGAGGTCCCTATTTGTATCCGTGTCTCACTGAGTTATTTTTAAATTTTCATTTATTTATTTATTTATTTATTTTTTGAGACAAGGTCTTGCTCTGTCCCCCAGGCTGGAGTGAAGTGGTGCCATCTTGGCTCACTGCAACCTCCACCTCTGGGAATCAAGTGATCCTCCCACTTTAGCCTCCCGAGTAGCTGAAACCACAGACATGCACCACCATGTCCGGTTAATTTTTCGTAGAGGCGAGATCTCACTATGTTGCCCAGGCTTGTCTTGAATTCCTGGGCTCAAGCAGTCCTCCCACCTCAGCTTCCCAAGGTGCTGAGATTACAGGCATGAATCACCACACCTGGCCTCACTGGTCTTCTTTATTAGCAACTTGGAAAGGTTCCCTGGAGATGTGGGCTGATAATATCTTGGCTGAGAGGGCAGGAGACAGAATTGGGACTCAGGAGATGGCAGTGGGGAAAAATCACAAGCATGCCTCTGCCTAGTGTGACTACAAGTGAGAGCATGCTATTGGTCCCAAGAAGATGGGGTTAAGGATGATGGTGACCATGAGCACTGGATGGGGCAGCCCTGGGAGCTGGAAGGAGCCCCTGCCATATTAAAAGGAGTGTGATGCCCGGGTCAAAGGAGGTGAGAATGCTGTTCTCTCCTCAGAGTTGGTCAAACCCCATTGAGGGTTCCTTCTGGGAAGGCCTCTGACAGGGACATGGACACTGGAGTGTGGGGTTGGAAACCATGTTCTAGGTGAATGACCTGGAAAAAAAAAAAAGGGAAAAAGGGGTGGGGTGAACCTTGTTCATCTCATAGGTTGGTTGGTCTGTGGGTAAGATTGCTCTGCCTGGCCAGGCACGGTGGCTCACACCTATAATCCCAGAACTTTGAGAGGCTGAGGTGGGCAGATCACAAGGTCAGGAGATGGAGGCCATTCTGGCTAACATGGTGAAACCCCATCTCTACTAAAATTACAAAAAATTAGCTGGGTGTGGTGGCACACACCTGTAGTCCCAGCTCTTTGGGAGTCTGAGGCAGGAGAATCGCTTGAACCAGGGAGGCAGAGGTTGCCGTGAGTTGAAAACATGCCACTTCACTCCAGCCTAGGTGACAGAGTGAGACTCTGTCTCAAAAAAAAAAAAAAAAAGGTTGCTCTGCCTGATTTCAAGGGCTAGACAGAAAACAGGGCAGGGGAATCTTGAGGAGACAAGATTTCAGAGGAAGACAAAGGATGGTTAAAATCGTCCAGTGAGGAAAGACCTTGACAGGTGATGAGTTCTTCATCACCAAAGGTGTTCAAGTATACACTGGCAGAATTGTGCAGGAAGAAATTCAAGCATCAAAGTGAAAGAGTGAAGGCTGGTGTGCAGGAGTTTGAACCAGCTGCTCTTTTAAGGGTTTAAGAGAACTCGTCTGGCCTCAAGAGTGATAGGTTTCAAGGATGGGTAGGGTGGTCTTTCCAGGTGTCCCCCATGTGGGTCTTTGGCTTAGGTACATAGATTGGCTTCAATGCCTGCAGTGGCCACCAAGTGTGGGCATGTCCTTGGGCTGGGGCTTTACTCATCCTCTGCTTGGGGTAGGGAGGATGATGCTGGAAGATGCCTGGAAGATGGATTTTCCTTCAATGCTACTGCCCAAGCCATCTTCCCCTAGTACAGAGCACTGGTGGGTCCCAGGTCACCCACCTGACCCCAGATGGTGCCTTCTGAGTTCTCCACCTGCTCCCACCGCAAGCGCTTGACACTCATGTGGCTGGTCTCGCTGCGCCGGTGGCCCAGGCCCCGGGACAGCATGGGGGGTGCACAGGGCACGGGTGGGGGCAGGGGTGGTGGGGGTGGTGGAGGGACTTGGTGACTGAGTTGGGTGAGGGGCTTGGCCAGCACCTGAGCAGGGCCCCGGGAACCATCAGAGCTGCGGGAGCTGGGCTTGGGGTCATGGAAAGGCAGGGGTGGTGGTGGTGGGGGGCTGAGCGGGGGTGGCGGGATGTGGTCAGAGATGGAGGAGTAGGTCAGGGAGCTGCCTTCTTCACTGCTGCTGACGCAGTCGCTGGCGCTGCTCTGCTCATTGGTTACAAAGCTACCCTGGTCATCATGGAAGCTCATCTGGTGGTGGAAAGAAAGGGAAGGGGAGCGTGAGGCTGGGCCCAGAGAGACTAGAGCAGGTGCAAGGTGAAGGATCATGGGACAAGGATAGGGCAGTCTCATGGGTTAGCCTCAGGCTGTGAGGGGGATAGCCTGGGCTAAGCATAGGACTGTCTCATGGGTTAGCCTCAGGCTGTGCATGGGATAGCCTGGGACAAGGATAGGACTATCTCATGGGTTAGCCTCAGGCTGTGAGGGGGATAGCCTGGGACAAGGATAGGGCAGTCTCATGGGTTAGCTTCAGGCTGTGCATGGGATAGCCTGGGACAAGGATAGGACAGTGTTTCACGGGTTAGCCTTAGGCTGTGAAGGGGATAGCCTGGCATAAGGATAGGACCATCTCACAGGTTAGATTTAGGCTGTGTGGGATAGCCTGGCCTAAGGAATGGGCTAACCTGGGATAGGGAGCACAGGCTAGTCTCAGACAAGGAGCAGGATAGCCTTGAACAAGAGATAGGGTAACCTGGGGAAAAGGGTAGGATAGCTTGAGCCAGGGAGTGGGATAGCCTGGGGAAGATCCCAAGGGCAGCAGGCCCTTGCAGGAACCCAGGGACACTGTTGCCTTGCAGAACTCCACACCATGCCTCACCCACCTCCCTCCACATCTGCCTGCATACCCACCTCCTCGTAGTCGTTCTCAGGGGTCAGGAAATCATCCACAATGGTGACCCGGGGGCCCAGCTGCTCACTCAGCACGTCCAGGAAGCGGTCGGTATCACGGCTTCGCACAGGCTGGGAGAAGGTGAAGAGCTTCCTGCGGCTGGGCTGGTGGGCAGGATCCAGGCTTGGGGGGCTGTCAGGGCAGATGGGCCCCGGGCTTGGCTGTGGGGAGGGCGCCCTGCTGCTGTCCAGGCTGGCGTAGGGGTGGGACTCAGAGCTGCTGGGGGAGGCCAGGCCCCCAGAACATAGCGGGTGGTAGCAAGGGGAGGGCAGGAGTCGTTCGCTGGGCCATGAGACGCCGGACAGGGTCCTGGGCCCTGGTGGGGGGATGCAGTGTGAGGATCCCTCTTCAGCCAGCACCAAGGCTGCAGGTGCAAGCTGGAGAGAGGGCCCAGGGCAGGCTGGCTCTGTGTCCTGGGGCACTCCCTTTTCCCTCTCTGGGCATAGTACAGGAAGACCCTGGGTGGCCCTGCCTTCCCAACATGACCAAAGTCCAGGCCCAGTGAGCAGGAGTACCACTCAGCCCCAGGACAGGCTGGATGCCAGCTCACCTTGGAATGGTCACAAGGGACCCAGCTGGGAGCCACTGAACACCACTAACTCAAAGGGTAGAGGGGCTTCTCTAGGGCCCAGACCAGAATCATGGGGCATCTCCCACACCTGGCAAGCCCTGAACTCACAGGAGGACCTCCCAGGGGCCCTGCCTTCTGACCTGCAGAACAACTGTCTTCCCAGCTGTGCCATTCACAGAACAATGCATGCACTTGACAATTTATCCGATAACCACATGCTAACTCGGGACTTCTTCAGAAACAGACATCTGCTTTCTTTCTTTTTCTTTTTCTTTCTTTCTTTTGTTTTTGTCTTTTTTGAGACAGTCTTGCTCTGTTGCTTAGGCTAGAGTGCAGTGGCTTGATCACAGCTCACTGCAGTCTTGAACTCCTGGGCTCAAGTGATCCTCCCACCTCAGCTTCTTGAGGAACTGGGACTACAGGTATATGCAATCATGCCCAGCCAATTTTGTATTTTTTTGGTAGAGAAAAATACAAAACTATGTTGCCAGGCTGGTCTCAAACTCCTGGGCTCAATCAATCCTCCTGCCTTGGCCTCCCAAAGTGCTAGGATTACAGGTGTGCCCAGGCTACTTTGTTGATCGGCAGGTGAGGTGATGATCACAGGGCCATGGGAGGGACTGGGATGACCCTGACTCTGATGGAGCAGAGAAGCAGCTCCAGGGCTGAGCCTGGGGTTCAGGGTAATACCCGGACAGTCAAGATGACAGAGCCTGGAGCCCTACCTGCGGCGACTGCTGAGCTGGGTCCTGGAGGGGAAGCCCGGGATTTGGACACGGTCCCCATCTTCCCTTTGAAGCTGCTGTTCAGTCGAGACTCAAGCTCTGCATAGACGGCTGACATCTGGAGGGAAGTGGGGGTGAGTCCAGCCCACCCTACTTCCCCTCACGGCCCTAACTTTTGGCCTCAGCAGCCAGGCCTGGGTAGTGTGGGAGGCAGAGATCTGCCCCAGCCTGAAGCAGCCACAGAGGAGCCTTGGCCTGGGTCTCCTGGGCCCAGTCCTATGGACTGTCCATTCCCTGTCCCCTACTGACCCCACCTGGAGGGCAGAGAGAAGGTCTCACCATCTTGGGGTTGGGGGTCTCAGGGAGGGACGTGCCATCGCCCGCCTGGCGCTCGCCTGGGATCAGGGAAAGAGGCATCTCAGGACACTCGCTGGGACCTACCAGAGAACAATGTCATTACCATTTCTGAGCTCTAAGGCTCAGGCTCCGGCCCAGAACCAACAGGCTTGGCAGACCCAGGAGGGCGACTCCTGAGCCCTGCTTATCCCCATTCCCTGGAATTCCTCTGCCACCAAGCCCATTTTGCAGGTAGAAAAACTGAGCTCCACTCAGTACCCCCAACCCCGACACCAGCCTTACCGCAGCTGAGGCCAGCCTCCACGCCCTGCGACCGGAGGCTGCGGCGGCACATGGAGGAGGCTCGAAGGGAGCTCCGGGGATGGGGCTCGGGCGTGGGCTCCGACTCCAGGTCCAGCTCAGGCTCTGGCTCTGCTGTGGGACACGCAGGGAACATGGGGCCCTCTTGTCCTCTCAGCCAGACAAGGGACCTCCAAAACAGGGACAGGAGGGCAGATGTCATCCGAAGCAATATGTGGACCCCAGGCTATGGGGCCTGCCCTGCTTGCCACCAGAACAGCTCTGGAAAGGAAGCCCTGGGGCAAGAAACCAGGTGCCGGGAGCAGCACCAGAATGCAGCTGGCCTGAGCTCGGGGGCCCAGCAGAGATCTCATGACAAGAGTTTCCAGAGTCTCAATGCCTTGTGCTCACCCCATGCGAAGTCACTGCTGCCCAGAGAGGATTATGGGTGAAATAGTTTTGTTTTTCTTTTGAGACGGAGTTTCATAATTGTTGCCCAGGCTGGAGTGCAATGGCACCATGTCAGCTCACAGCAACCTCCACCTCCCAGGTTCAAGCAATTCTCCTGCCTCAGCCTCTCGAGTAGCTGGGATTACAGGTGTCTGCCACTACACCTGGCTAACATTTTGTATTTTTAGTAGAGAATGGGTTTCAGCATGTTGGCCAAGCTGGTCTCTAACTCCTGACTTCAGGTGATCCACCTGCCTCGGCCTTCCAAAGTGCTGAGATTACACACGTGAGCCACTGCTCCCAGCCAAAATACAACTTTTTTGAGTCTAGGCAGATATGTAAGACATGTGCCATCCAGCATGGAGCCCGAGCTTCTTGCTAAAATCCTAGTAAACTGTGGGCCAGCAACTCTGCAGCGGCTCTCCCTTATCTCCCTCCCTCTCTCCCACTCTCCCTCCCTTCCTTTTTGGTTGAGACAGAGTCTGGCTTTCTCACCCAGGCTGTTCACCTGGTTGGTTGGATAGTCAGCAGCTGCAGGCAGGGAAGGGGCAGGGGAGAAGATGCTTACCCGTCATGGCAGTGTAGCCCAGGAAGCATGCAATTTTCTCCTGACAGAGCTCCTGCTCCTCATAGGTCAGCAGCTGGTAGATGAACTGCCACAGGACCTGCTTGGAAGGGGTGTCCAGCACAGGGTAGACATCAACGATGAGCGTGTCGATGTTCCTGGGTGAGGGTGCAAGGCGCAATACTCAGGGGATCACCATGATGACAGAGTGGGGGTGGACAAGATGGCACTTCCAGGCCACAGCCTCTGGTCTCATGCCCTGTCCCTGCCCTTGAAAGACAGAGAAGTGGGGGCCGGGCCTGGTGGTGCATGCCTGTAATCCCAGCACTTTGGGAGGCTGAGGTAGGTGAATCGTTTGAGGTCAGGAGTTAGAGACCAGCCTGGCCAACATGGTGAAATCCCATCTCTATTAAAAATATAAAAATTAGCTGGGCATGGTGGCATGCACCTGTAATCCCAGCCACTTGGGAGGTTGAGGCAGGAGAATCGCTTGAGCCTGGGAGGTGGAGGTTGCAGTGAGCTGAGATCATGCCACTGCACCCCAGTCTGGGTAACAGAGTGAGACTCTGTCTCAAAAAAAAAAAAAAAAAAAAAAAAGTAAGCAGGAAGGCAGGCTCCAGGGACAGGGTAGCCAGACTCCAATCTCGGCTCTGCCACTTACCAGCTAAGTGACCTTTCTCAAGTGACTTACCTTCTCTGTGCCTCAGTTTCCTGATCTGTAAAATGGGGATAAAAATAGCATCTACCTCATAGAGCTGTTGTGAAGATTAAAACATATAGAGCAGGCCAGGCTGGTGGCTCATGCCTGTAATCCCAGCACATTGGGAGGCTTAGGCAGTGGATCACCTCAAGTCGGGAGTTTGAGACCAGCATGGCCAATGTAGTGAAACCCCGACTCTACTAAAAATACAAAAATTAGCCAGGCATGGTGGCACACACCTGTAGTCCCAGCTACTCAGAAGGCTGAGGTAGGAGAACTGCTTGAACTCAGGAGGTGGAGGTTGCAGTGAGCCAAGACTGCACCCCAGCCTGGGTGACAGAGTAAGGCTCTGTCTCAAAAAAACAAAAAACACATAGAGCAGGCCAGGCACGGTGGCTCATGCCTGTAATCTCAGCCCTTTGGGAGGCTGAGGCAGGTGGATCACCTGAGATCAGGAGTTTGAGATCAGCTTGGCCAACATGGTGAACCCTGTTTCTACAAAAAATACAAAAATTTAGTGGGCATGGTGGTGCGCACCTGTAATCCCATCTACTCAGGAGGCTGAGGCAAAAGAATCTCCTGAGCCTGGGAGGCAAAAGTTGCAGTGAGCCGAGACTGCATTACTGTCATCCAGCCTGGGCCACAGAGCAAGACTCTGTCTCAAAAAATAAATAAAATAAAAATAAAAATAGGTCAGACATGACCTCATGCCTGTAATCCCAGCACTTTGGGAGGCCAAGGCGGGTAGATCATGAGCTCAGGAGTTCGAAACCAGCCTGGCCAAAATGGTGAAACCCCCTCTCTAATAAAAATATAAAATTTAGCTGGGTGTGGTGGTATGTGCCTGTAATCCCAGCTACTGGGGAGGCTGAGGCAGGAGAATCACTTGAACCTGGGAGGTGGAGATTGCAGTGAGCTGAGACTGAGCCACTGCACTCCAGCCTGGGCAACAGATCAAGACTCCGTCTCAAAATAATAATAATTAATAAAAATAAATAAATAAATAAAAATAAAGTAGGATAATATCTTTTGACCTAGAAGCAGGGAAGGACTTCTTAAAATTTCAAAAGCCAAAACTCTAAAACCAAAAATGTGGCCAGTTTGACTATGCAAAATCAAGGAAGCCCAACTTAGACACATTAATATTAGACACAACAGACTTAATAACAGAAGTAACATGGGAGAGAAATTTACAACATTCAAAATCAAGGAGAAATCAGTGTTTAAAATGTAGAAGGATGGCCAGGCGTCATGGCTCACGCCTGTCATCCCAGCAATTTGGGAGGCTGAGGTGGGTTGATCACCTGAAGTCAGGAGTTTGAGACCAGCTTGGCCAACAAGGTGAAACCCCGTCTCTACTAAAAGTACAAAAATTAGTCGGGCGTGGTGGTGGGTGCCTGTAATCCAAGCTACTCAGGAGGCTGAGGCAGGAGAAACGCTTGAACCTGGGAGGCAGAGGTTGCAGTGAGCCAAGATCATGCCACTGCACTCCAGTCTAGGCAACAGAGCAAGACTCTGTCTCAAAATAAATAAATAGATGAAATAAATAATAAATAAAATGTACAAAGGGTCGGGGGCAGTGGCTCACACCTGTAATCCCAGCACTTTGGGAGGCTAAGGTGGGCACATCACTTGAGCCCAGTTTAAGACCAGCCTGGAAAACATGGCAAAACCCTGTCTCTACTAAAAAAATAAAAATAAAAAATAAAATTAGGGGGGCATGGTAGTCCCAGCTACCTGGGAGGCAGAGGTAGGAGGATCACTTGAGCCTGGGAGTTTCAGGTTGCAGTGAGCTGTATTTGTGCCACTGCACTCCAGCCTGGGCGACAGAGTGAGACCCTGTCTCAGAAAATAAAATAAAATAAAATAAAACATACAAGGAACTTCATACCAGTCAACAAGAACAAAAATTCCAAGAAAACAAAAATGGACAAAGGATATGAACAGGTAATTTTTAGAGAAAATCCCAGAAAAAGTTCATCAGCATATTAAAAGATACTTAAAATAATTAGTAATAGAAGAAAACCAAATTAAAATAACAGGATGTCACTTCTATGGCTAAGAAACTAACAAAAATAAAAAGTTGGACACCACTGTGATCCACAGGACTTTGACTGCAGTTATAATCAATGTATGACATATACACAAAGCAACGTGGACAGGGCTAAACACATTAATTGGTGAATAAGTCAGACACAAAATACTCTATATAGCACAATGAGGGGGGAGAAGATGAAGTCTTGTTCTGTCACCCAGGCTGGAGTGCAGTGGCATGATCTTGGCTCACTGAAACCTCTGCCTTCTGGGTTCAAGCAATTCTCCTGCTTCAGCCTCCCAAACAGCTGTGACTACAGGCACACGCCGCCATGCCTGGCTAATTTTTTTGTATTTCAGTAGAGACAGGGTTTCACTGTGTTGCCCAGGCTGGTCTTGAACTCCTGAGCTCAGACAATCCACCTGCCTTGGTCTCCTAAAGTGCTAGGATTACAGGAGTGACCCACCACGACCAGCCTGATTTTTTTTTTTTTTTTTTTTTTGAGACAGGGCCTCACACTGTCACCCAGGCTGGAGTGCAGTGGCACAATCAAGGCTCACTGCAGCCTTGAAACCCTGGGCTCAAGCGACCCGCCCACATCAAAGGAACTGGAACTATAGGTACGAGCCGCCATGCCCAGCTGATTTTTTCTTTTTGTAGATACAGCTTCTTGCTCTGTTGCCCAGGCTGGTTTTGAACTCCTGGGCTCAAGCAAGTTTTCTGCCTTAGCCTCCCAAAGTGATGGGATTATAGATGTTTGGTCTGGGTTTCTTTTTGATATGATGAGGTTTTAAAATGGACCATGTGATGTTTGCACGTATTTGTGAATATACTAAACACCACTGAATTGTATAATTAAATGGGTTGAACTGTATAGAAGGTGAATTACATCTTAAGACTCTTTAAAGCCAGGTACAATGGCTCATGTCTGTAATTCTAGCACTTTGGGAGGATCACTTGAGCCCTCGATACCAGCCTGGGTGACATAGTGAGACCCCCTCCACCATCCTTTTTGAAAAACAAAACCAAACCAGGCTGGGCATGCGATGGCTCATGCCTGTAATCCCAGCATTTTGGGAAGCGGAGGTGGGTGGATTACCTGAGGTCGGGCGTTCGAGACCAGCCTGACCAGCGTGGAGAAAACCTGTCTCTACTAAAAACACAAAATTAGCCGGGCATGGTGGTGCATAGGCCTGTAATCCAAGCTAGTTGGGAGTCTGCGGCAGGAGAATCGCTTGAACCTGGGAGGCGGAGGTTGCAGGGAGCTGAGATCAAGCCATTGCCCTCCAGCCAGGGCAACAAGAGCGAAACTGTCCCAAAAACAAAATGAAACAAAACAAAAACCAAAAAGCAAAGCCCTTGAAAGAAAACAAAAAGGTACAGATAAGGGGCAGGCTTTTCAGAGACCATGGAAATGACCTCATGGACCAAGGAGTGAGATAAACGCACCTGGCTGTAGTTGAGGTCCAAAAAGAAAGACACCAACATTATACCCAAGGGCCTGGACCATAACAAGTGCCCACAGGTGGGTCCCATCAAGAATGCTGCAGGTATTTGGGAGGCCAAGGTGGGTGGATCATGAGGTCAGGAGTTCGAGGCCAGCCTGACCAACATGGTGAAACCCTGTCTCTACTAAAAAGACAAAAATTAGCTGGGTGTGGTGGTGCATGGTTGTAATCCCAGCTACTTGGAAGGCTGAGGCAGGAGAATCGCTTGAACCCAGGAGGCAGAGGTTGCAGTGAGCCAAAATCACATCACTGCACTCCCACCTGGGCAACAGAGAGAGACTCCGCCTAAAAAAAAAAAAAAAAAGAATGCGGCAGGTAGTCTCCGTCTGCCTCACTTCACAGAGAAGGCTGTGACTTGCACAAGGTCATGTGGCTATCGGAGGTGTCAGAGTCAGAATTTGTTCCAGGGCAGCTCAATTGCCCACCACCCTGGGGCCCCTGATACCAGCTGCTACCTTCCTGAGCATCCCCCAGGAGATTGGGACTGAGGGGGCTCAGGCAGGGAGATTAGGATGTGAGTCTAGGCAGGACTTAGGGCCGACCCAGGGCAGGTCCCCACCCCAGCTCTGGCCCAGCCACCTGTGCTGGAAGAAGCTCTCGAGGGCCCGGCAGACCCCGTAGCGCTCAGGAGGCGTGAGCAGGTGCTCCAGTTGCTGGCTGAAGGTCCTCCCTTGGACCCGGATGCTGGATGGCAGGATCTCCGCCACCCACTGCAGGGAGGTAAGCGCTGACGACGGGTTGGGCGAGTCCAGAGAATCAGAGTCTGCTGGGACCACAGGCAGGAGAGGCAAGAGTGACCCAGAGTCCCCAGGCCAGGTGCCGTTTCCCTGGCTTTTGAGGTCAGCAGACCTCCTGAGCTGGGGTGTGGCTGTCCAGTGCCATGCATAGGAAGACATGCCTGCTGCCCGACACTGGGGCCAGGGATAGAGGGAGTCACCCCTGGGAAGGGTCCCTGAAGCTGTGCTCTAGGGTTTTTGTTTTCATTTTTGTTTTTGTCTTTTTCTGAGATGAAGTCTCACTCTGTTGCCCAGGAGGGAGTGCAGTGGCATGATCTCGGCTCACTACAATCTCTGCCTCCTGAGTTCAAGTGATTCTCCTGCCTCCTGAGTTCAAGTGATTCTCCTGCCTCAGCCTCCCGAGTAGCTGGAACTACAGGTGTGCACCACCATGCCAGGCTAATTTTGTATTTTTAGTAGAGACAGGGTTTCACCATGTTGGCCAGGATGGTCCAGATCTCCTGACCTTGTGATCCGCCTGCCTCTGCCTTCCAAAGTGCTGGGATTACAGGCATGAGCCACCGCGCCTGGCCCTTTTTTTATTTTTAAGACAGAGTCTCAGCCTGTCACCCAGGCTGGAGTGCAGTGGCGCAATCTTGGTTCATGGCAACCTCCGCCTCCTGGGTTCAAGCGATTGTCTTGCCTCAGCTTCCCGAGTAGCTGGGACTACAGGCATGTGTGATCATGCCCAGCTAATTTTTGTGTTTTTAGTAGAGCCAGAGTTGTGCCATGTTGCCCAGGCTGGTCTCAAACTCCTGGCCTCAAGTGATCCTCCCACCTCGGCCTCCAAAGTGCTAGGATTCCAGGCATGAACCACCGTGCCCAGCCTCACTGGGATTTTATAGTACCACTTAGGGGGCAGTCCTGGGAAGGCAAGCTGCAGGTTTAGGAGAATAGCTGAGTCCTCTGCACTGTGAATCTCACACATAGCAGCCGGGGCAGGGTTGCTGTGGACCAAGAAAGCCAAGTGTCCATGGAGTTCTCACCACTGGCAAACGGGACGAGCCCTTCCTCCACCACCAGCGTGGGCATGGCACCACTGCCCTGCAGCATGGACACCACCTTGTCATGGGAGCAGTTCCTGCCAAGCAGAGAGGGCCCAGGAAGGCCTGACTGGGGTGAGCCTGGTCCACGGCCACCAGCCAGACCTCCCTGTCCTGCCCACAGGGGCCACACAGCAAGACCACCTCTGTGCCTCTCTGTGTCCCCAGCATGGAGCTGGGGTATTTTCTGGTTGGAAGGATGAACTGAGGTCCTGGCTAGAGTTGGCGGCTGGCGAGGGGGAGGGTTAGATTCAAGAGTTCCCACTGGAAGAGGGACAGATCCTGGGGACCAACTGGTGAGAGGAGATCGGGACCATGGCCTGGGTGCCCCAAGAAGGCAGGAGTCTTGCAGGGGGTGGGGCAGCTCATCATCAACCTCTAGTGTCCCCAGTAGCCACTGACCTCATGTCCAGTCCGTTGAGGAAGAGGATCCGGTCACCTGACTTGAGGGCAGCATTGTCAGCTGGGCTCCCTGGAAGCAAGAAGAGAGGTTGTGCCGGTCAGCTGGGCAGGGTACCACTTCGAGAGCAGGATGCTGTCCTGTTTTACAGGCAAGAAATGGAAACTCAGAGACCCACAGCTGGCCAGGCATGGTGGCTAACACCTGTAATCCCAGCACTTTGAGAGGCCAAGGCATGAGGATTGCTTGAGCCCAGGAGTTCGAGACCAGCTTGGGCAACAAAGCGAGACCTCTGTCTCTACAAAAAAAAAAAAAAAAAACCTAAAAAACAGAGATCCATAGGCATGGGTGGCAGAGGAGAGTCAAATAAGGTCGATAGATCCGTGCAATAGACTCTGCACATCTCCAATCGCAGCTGCTTTAAGGATCCAAGGACCAAGGGAGTGACCCCCTAGTCGGGGCACAGCATGAACCCCCAGTGCTGGAGAAGAGCAAGGTCCAGAGGGCAGTACTTAGGCAGCATCAGTACATCTCTAGTCCCTGCTCCATATACTGTGCTTAGCTCTGCATAGAAAGGTCCCATCAGGGATTCCTTTTTGTTTCAGGAGAATTACTTTCTGTTTTTTGTTTTGTTTTGTGTTGTTTGAGACAAGGTCTTGCTGCAGTGCAGTGGTGTAATCACAGTTCACTGAAGCCTCGACCTCTTGGGCTCAAGCAATCCTACCACCTGAGACTCTGAGTAGCTGGGACCTAGGCATGTACCACCACTCTGGGCTATTTTTTTTTTTTTTTTTTGAGATGGAGTCTCGCTCTATCACCCAGGCTGGAGTGCAAGTGCATGATCTCAGCTCACTGCAACTTCTGCCTCCTGGGTTCAAGCTATTCTTCCCCTCAGCCTCCTGAGTAGGTGGAACTACAGGTGCCTGCCACCATGCCTGGCTAATTTGTGTGTTTGTTTTTAGTAGAGATGGGGTTTCACCATGTTGCCCAGGCTGGCCTCTAACTCCTGAGCTCAAGTTATCCGCCCGCCTTGGCCTCCCAAAGTGCTGGGATGACAGGTGTGAGCTATTGTGCCCGGCCATCTAAGTTTTGTATTTTTTGTAGAGACGAAGTTTCACCATATTGTTCAGGCTGGTCTAAAACTCCTGGCCTCAAATGATCCTCCTGTCTCAGTCACCCAAAGTGCTGGGATTACAAGCATGAGCCACCACACCTGGCCTCTTTCTGCCTCTTTTATTAGTCATCATTCTAAACTTAATTCTGAAAGAAGTAGGGAAAATGATCAATGCCTAAATAAAATATACTCTCAGATTGTGAGAATTTCACTCTGGGGGAGATGGAAACTGTCCAGAGAAGAGGGAGAACAATCAGGGAAGACTTCCTGGGAGAGGTGAGATGGGGAAGTCCTTTCCCTGGACTGAAAAGGAGAGAGTGATGGTGGCAGCGAATCCAATCTGGCCTGCCTTGAATAGCTGCATGACTAGAGAGGCTGTCGCAGGGGATCAAAGATCACTGGGCCAGGAGTCAGGAGATCCTAGTTTCTGGTCCTTAATTTACCAGAGCCTCTCCATGTCTCAGTTTCCCCATCTGTAAAACCTTGCATCTAAGCATCCATTTGACTTCCTATGACAGGTAAGACATGGGATCACTAACTTGAGAGTCGGGTTGAGAACAGCAGACCCGGAATTTTTTTTTCTTTTTTTGAGACAGGGTCTTCCTCTGTCACCCAGATTGGAGTGCAGTGGCACAATCATAGCTCACTGCAGTGCTGAACTCCTGGGCTCAAGCAATCCTCCCACCCCAGCCTCCTGAGTAGCTGGGACTACAGGCATGTCCTTCGCTATGTTGACCAGGCTGGTCTCAAACTCCTGGGTTCAAGTGATCTTCCTGACTCAGCTTCCCAAAAGGCTGGGATTACAAGTGTGAGCCAGTGCACCCAGCCACACCTGGATTTTAGCAAGCCCCTAGGCCAAGTATCTCTGGCTACACATGTGGGAGAGACTGGGATGGGGATGGTGGTGGTGGCATGGTTGGAACAGCCACATCCACAGAGGAGAGATTAATCATTCTTTTTTTTTCTGAGACGAAGTCTTGCTCTGTCACCCAGGCTGGAGAGCAGTGGTGCAAACTTGGCTCACTCCAAGCTCCACCTCCCGGGTTCAAGCAATTCTCTTGCCTCAGCTTCCTGAGTAGCTGGGACTACAGGTGCCAGCCCCATGCCTGGCTAATTTTTGTATTTTTAGTAGAGACAGGGGTTCACCATATTGGCCAGGCTGGTCTCGAACTCCTGACCTCAGGTGTTCCACCCCCCCCCCCAGCCTCCCAAAGTGCTGGGATTACCACGCCTGGCTGAGATTAATTGTTTTTAGAGGAAGCTCTCTAGAGAGCAGCTTTAGGCTTTTTGCTTACCATATGGTGTCAAAAAATTTAGTGATGCTCAAATTGGGAAAGGATCCAAACATGCCAGTTATCAGGATCAAGTCTCGGAACAGTCCGAAGCCTGTTGGCCTGACACGTCAGTGCTCTTCTGGGGCAGGGACTACAGGCCTCACTTTCCCCAGCTGTAAAGCTTCCATCTAAACATCCATTTAGCTTCCTATGATGGGAAAGGCATGGGATCAGTCCTGGGACTATAGGATCAGATGATGCCCAGCTCACGGATCCATCCACTGGAGACAGTGACATGCAGAATGTGGAAAGAATGCAATGGCATGGCCACCAAAGGTATGTGTAACCAGGAGCATTACACTTAGGTGCTGGGAGGGGACTGATGCAGGACAGAACAGGTAACCCAGTTCTGAGCAGGTGGTTACAGAGTTCAATTCTGCTCTAGGAGACACTTCTGCCCTACAAACACCTTCCACAATGAATATGAGCACACACACACTTCTGCCCCACTGGAGTGGCAGGAAGAAAGGGATTCTTGCACTGGAGAGGCTGCCTTCTTCAAGATGCCACGGTTGGGCCTGGTGGCTCACACCTGCAATTCCGACATTTAGGAGGCTGAGGCAGGAGGATCCCTTGAGCCCAGGAGTTTGAGGCTGCAGTGGGCTATGATCATGCCACTGCAATCCTGCCTGGAAAACAGAGGGAGACCCCATCTCTTAAAATAAAATAGGCTGAGTGTGGTGGCTCATGCCTGTAATCCCAGCACTTTAGGAGGCCAAGACAGGTGGATCACCTGAGGCCAAGAGTTCGAGACCAGCCTGGCCAACATGGAGAAACCCCATCTCTACTAAAAATACAAAAAAATTAGCCAGGTGTGGTGGTAGGTGCCTGTAATCCCAGCCACTCAGAAGGCTGAGGCAGTAGAATTGCTTGAACCTGGGAGGCGGAGGCTTACGTGAGCCGAGATTGCACCACCGCACTCCAGCCTGAGCAATGAGAGTGAAACTCCACCTCAAAATAAATAAAATAAAATAAATAAAATATAGGCTGGGTGTGATGGCTCATGCCTGTACTCCTAGCACTTTGGGAGGCCAAGGCAGGAGGATTACTTGAGCTAAGAAGTTCGAGACCAGCCTGGGCAATATGGCAAAACCCTTTCTCTACCAGAAATACAAAAAAGTAGCCACACATGGTGGCGTGAGCCTGTGGTCCCAGCTACTTGGGAGGCTGAGATGGGAGGATCACCTGAGCCTAGGAGGTGCAGGTTGCAGTGAGCCAAGTTCGTGCCAATGCACTCTAGCCTGGGTGACAGAGGGAGACCCTATCTCATTAAAATAAAATAGGAGGGACACAGTGGCTCATGCCTGTAATCCCAGCACTTTGGGAGGCCGAGGTGGGTGGATCACAAGCTCAGGAGATTGCGACCATCCTGGCTAACACGGTGAAACCCTGTCTCTAATAAAAATACAAAAAATTAGCCGGCATGGTGGCACACGCCTGTAGTCTCAGCTGCTCCGGAGGCTGAGACAGGAGAATTGCTTGAATCCGGCAGGCAGAGGTTGCAGTGAGCCGAGATGGTACCACTGCACTCCAGCCTGGAGACAGAGTGAGACTCAGTCTCAAAAAAATAATTAAAATAAATAAAATAAAATAAGTAAAGTAAAATAAAATTAAAAAGATGCATGATTTCAGGAACAAGAAGGGGCAGGCGGGGTGGTAGGAGAGGGGAGTCCAGATTCAGCATGGGTTAGAGGCAGAGGCAGAGAGTCACAGGCAGAGGCCCTGAGGCCCTTTTGGCTCTCTGAGTCTGGCCTGACAGGCAAGTGCCCAGTTCAGCGTGGGCACAGTCTAGGTAGGCACCAGCTCAGTCCTGGCTGTCCCAGGGTCCTGGACAGTGGCCCTGACCCTCCCTGTGGACATAGGAAAGGTCTGGATGCAGAACCTGGCTCCCTCAGGTTGGGGTGATGCTGAATTTACAGGGGCAGGGGTGGGGTACCCCAGCTCAGGCAGAAGGCTCTGGCCTCAAGCACCTTAGGTAGGAGTGGGATTCAGATCCTCTGGCTCTGGGACACTCAGGGGACACCGTCTACATAAGGATGGTACCTTATGTAGACGGGAGGGGTTGCTGAGCAGGAGCCTACATGGGGTACAGTGACCCTGGAGAGCCACCACGGGGTCCTTTACCCTATTCTGGGCCTTAGGGACTCTTAGGGCAACCAGCCCACCCCTCACCAGGCAGGACAGACTCGATCCAGACAGGCCCGTGGCCGCGAAGTGTGAAGCCGAAGCTCTTGTTGCCCTTGTAGACTCGGACAGTCCTGAGGGGGGGAAAGAAGGGGCGAGCAGCATGATGGAGAAGGGGCCCTGGAGTGCAGCGGGGGAGAGACGTCCCGTGTCCTTTTCCCCTTAACCTCTCGGTCCCTTCTGCACCCCAGCAGCCCCGCCCCGCCCCGCCCCTGCGCACTCTCCCCGGGTCTGGGTCCCGAGCCCACCCACAGGGAGGGGTCCGCGGCCAGTGCCTGTGAGCCCCGCGTACCTGCGCGCGCCCCCGGGGCCAGCGAGGCCGCCCACCAGCAAGGAGGCCCTGCGCGGGGGCGGCTCGTCGGGGCGGCGCGGCGGGGCGCTGGCGCGCGTGGACACCAGGAGGCGCTCTGGCCTCTCCTCGCTGCGGCTCCGGCGCAGTCGCTGAGCGCCCTGGGCCCGGCGGGCGCGGCACAGCTTGCCCAGGAGGCCCTGCGACACCACCTCGTCGAAGCGCGCCCGGTGCTTCTTGGGGATGAAGATCCTGCCGGCGAAGACGGAAGAGTGGGGGCGCGTCCCCGGACCCCGGATCTCGGCAAACCGTGGCCCGAAGGGGCGTCCTCGTGGGTGCCGCCCTCCGCTCTCCAGCCCCTTCCCAGGAGTGGCGGAGGGTTTTGGGGGAACAGCAGCCAGTGGCACCCCAGTCTCCCCTCGGTGCTCGGATTTGCGCCCCCGCTCCACCTCGGGAATGGCACATTCAGACCGTCCTTCATGACTCTGGCCTCTGCAGGGCCCGAGCCCCACAAAGCCAATCCGTGGACCCGTTCCTCCTCCTGCCTGTCTTCCTTCCCTGATATCTCCCCCAACTGCCCTGCACCCGCCAGGCCAAGTGCGAGCCCGGGACCCCCACAACACACTGTCTCCCAGCTCGTCTCTAGGTGGCTCTGCTGGAGGAAACTGGAGCCCTCAAGCTGGTCTGAGTTCCCGCAGCCCCTCACCACACCTCAGTCTTCCTGCTTGCTTCTGTGGCCAGCCTCATCTGCAGCTGCCCACTCAGATATCTGCCAGGACCCCTGCTTCTGCCACCTTCAGTCCCTTTAAGCTCTCTCCAGGCCCTCGCCCCAGCCTGCTCCGATTCATTGCTTCCTTAGCTTAACGAGGCTCCACACCCAATACTGGTCTCCTTTCAATTTAATTCTACATGTACTTAGGGAGCCCCTGCTATCTGTGCCAGCTGGGAACTGGGGTTCAAAGCTGAAGGGACTGTGGCTCCTGTTCTCAAAGGAGTTACCTTGGAAGTGAGAGGCAGGGGGAAGGCCTGTGGGTCTCTGCTGCAGGGCTAGCAACTCTCTCTTTCTCTGTCTCTGTTTTTTACTTCCCTCTTTTGAGACGGGGTCTTGCTCTGTCTTCCAGGCTAGAGTACAGTGGCACGATCATAGCATGATCACAGCTTGATCATAACTCAGTGTAACCTGGAACTCCTGGTCTCAAGGGATCCTCCTGCCTCAACCTCCCTCGTAGCTAGGACTACAGGTACATGCCACCAGGCCTGGCTATTTTTTTTTTTTTCTTTTTTGAGACAGAGTTTTGCTCTTGTTACACAGGCTGGAGTGCAATGGCGCGATCTCGGCTCACCATAACCTCCGCCTCCTGGGTTCAGGCAATTCTCCCGCCTCAGCCACCCGAGTAGCTGGGATTACAGGCACATACCACCATGCCCAGCTAATTTTTTGTATTTTTAATAGAGGCGGGGTTTCGCCATGTTGACCAGGATGGTCTCGATCTTTTGACCTCATGATCCACCTGCCTCAGCCTCCCAAAGTGCTGGGATTACAGGCGTGAGCCACCGCCCCCGGCCTTTTTTTTTTTTTTTTTTCTTGAGACAGAGTCTTGCTCTGTTGCTCAGGCTGGAGTGCAATGGCACGATCTCGGCTTACTGCAACCTCCGCTTCCTGGGTTCAAATGATTCTTCCACCTCAGCCTCCAGAGTAGCTGGGATTAGAGGTGGCCACCAGCACTCCTGGTTAGTTTTGTATCTTTGTAGAGATGGAGTTTCACCATGTTGGCCAGGCTGGTCTTGAACTCCTGACCTCAGGTGATCTGCCCACCTCAGCCTCCCAAAGTGCTGGGATTACAGGGGTGGGCCACCGCACCCAGCATTTTTTTCTTTTTCTTTTTCTTTTGTAGAGCTGAGGCTCTATGTTGCCCAGGCTGGTAGCAAACCCCTGGCCTCAAGCGATCCTCCCACCTCCACTTCTCAAAGTGCTGGGATTACAGGCGTGAGCTACAACACCCAGCCTTGGTGGCTTTCTGAGGGTTTGGTCTGTAGTTCAATCATGAGCCACCGTGATTGGCCAGGGCTCGGCACACCAGAGAGGCTTGGTAAACAGGCAGTCTGCCAGCAGCCTACCCGCATCTCTGAGTAATGGCAGCAGTTAACGTCCTGATGGACTCTCTGGTCTGTGGCAGAGGATTCTGAGGCACAGAGAGGACCCGTAGCTCTCCTCGGTTACACAGTTGGCCTGTGGCACAGTTGGCATTGGAGCCCAGCCTTCAGAGCCTCAGCACTGTGGCAGGACCTCTAACAAGAGCCCCTGAAGGTCCGGTTGCCTGTGAGGTCTCCCTGGCTGCATCCCAAAGCTCCCTTCCCTGTTCCTTGTACCAAATGCCATGGCCAAGGGCAAGATGATGGAGAGAAGGGAGAAGGGATCAGTGGCCTTGCAGTCAGCTGAAATACAAACCCCTCTGAGGTGTCCCAGTGGCCCCCACACTTCCCTCCACCTCTGTGGATAGGAGTAATTATGCCAGGCGGGCAAAATAAGTTGCCTGGTGGGAGGAAGTGGGCATGGATTCTCAAGGAGGAGGCTCTGTCCCCACAGTGAGCTCTGCTCCAGGTCTGGATCATCTGGATGACCAGAAGGCCAGGATGAATATCCTGCTCACCTTTGCCCGGTGCCCATTCCCACCCACCTGCAATGCTTTCTGCAAACCTGGAAACTTAGCCTCATCCCCTAAGATGGTCACTCAAAGTCTCCGGAGCCTGACCCCTCCATCTGCCTGGCTTCCACATTCCCCACTGCCTCCCAGACCTCAAGCCTCACGTTGAGGCAAAGGAAAAAGGACACACCCACTTGAGACTGTCCACCTCACTTCTGACTCCAGTAACAGACTCTGAAGAAGATATCACTCCATGCACCCAACCCCTGGGTCCAACCTGGGCAGGGGTCAAGAGGACATCACAGCTCTACCTTCCAGCAGCAGTTAGAAAAGACCCTATCATCCAGGCGAGGTGGCTCAAGCCTGTAATCCCAGCACTTTGGGAAGCTGAGGCAGGCAGATTACCTAAAGTCAGGAGTTTAAGACCAGCCTGGCCAACGTGGTGAAACTCTGTCTCTACTAAAAATACAAAACTTAGCCGGGCATGGTGGCATATGCCTGTAATCCCAGCTACTCAGGAGGCTGAAGCATGGGAATTGCCCGAACCCAGAAGACAAACCCCTCTCAGTGAGCTGAGATTGAGTCACTGCACTCCAGCCTGGGCAACAGAGTGAGACTCAGTTTTGGAAAAAAAAAAAAAAAGAAAAAGCCCTGCCCTCCCAGGTGGGAACCAGGCTGTCACCAACTGTACAGAGGAAAGAAGGTTGAGCAGCCCTTTCCTTACTTGGTGTTTTTAGGGGTGAGACAGAAGTCAAGGCTGCCTGGTAAGCCAGACATCCAACCTAGCTCCTATGGGCCTTCCATGCAGCTCAGTCTGGCCCAGGGTCTCCAGCCCTGGGTCTGCCCTAAATCGACTGACCCAGCAGGGCCAGGAACAGTGGGGCCACAGCAACTATTGTCGCCAGTCACTATCCCTTTGACTGGCAGTCCAGCAATCATTGTCCTGGGACTCTATGCCAACAGGCCTCTCTGAGGCCACAGGCCTCTCTGGGGGCCACACAATGACCTTGCACTCAGGGTCAGTTCTGTTCTTTCTGCCAGGGTCAGGTCTTAATCCAACCCCAAGTTCGTACTAGGGACTACCCCCACCCACCCCACCCCCATCCATTCCCTGTCCCAACCCAGCTTTCTCTCTCTCTCTCTTTTTTTTTTTTTTAAGACAGACTCTTTGCCACCCAGGATGGAGTGCAGGGGCACAATCTTGGCTCACTGCAACCTCTGCCTCCCAGGTTCAAGTGATTCTTCTGCTGCAGCCTCCTGAGTATCTGGAGCTACAGGCATGCACCACCATACACGGCTGTTTTTTGTATTTTTAGTAGAGATGGGGTTTCACCATGTTGGTCAGGCTGGTCTCAAACTCCTGACCTCAGGAGATTCACCCCCCTCGGCCTCCCAAAGTGCTGAGATTACAGGCGTGAGCCACTGTGCCCGGGTCCCCACCCAGCTTTCTCTTGATCAGCCAGTGAACTGGTGGCAAGGGGCAAGGTGCCCTGGTTCAGCATAGGGAGCACAGCAGTGGAGAGGTCGTGCCCCCCAAACTCAGGACGAGATGCCCATATTTTCACAAGAGCACCCAACCTCAGTCTCGGCCCTCTGTCATGTCCCCTCGACCAGCCCAGGTGTAGGAAGGAAACTGGTCTTTCAATATCAGCCTTTTGCCCCGACACCAACTCTTTAGGGCTGCGCACGGGTTCTGAGCGCCCAACGCTTAGACCTCGCTGCCCCGGTACCCACCCAGGTTATTTCCAACCTCCTTGGGCCCCGGGCTCCGCCCAGGCTCGGATGTTGCCCACCCAGAGCAGGGAAGCCCCTCCGCGCTCCAGCCCAGCCCCTTCAGACCAGCCCGAAGCGGATCCACGGCGCACAGGGCGCACGGTTCCCGGAGGCGCGGGACGGACGTGACGGGGAAGCTACCGAAAGTGCCGAGAGAAGCCCTGGTCCTTCCCCATCTGGAGCCGGGGACCGCGACGCGGCAGGTGCCGAAGGGCAAGCGGGTATCCAAGCCCGGGAGATGAGCGAGCGCGCCGCGACTCCACGCACCTCTGCCCCGCGAACGCGCGCGACCCCTCCCGAACGGTCCGGGCCCGCAACCCCGCTCCCGCCCCCTCTTGGTGGCCCCGCCCCCTCCCGGGAGCCCCGCCTCTCCCCCGTAGAGGCAGGCCCTCTACTCACCCCCTCCCCACTTTGGTCACTCTGGGGTGCAGGGGAAACCGGGGGAAGTTTGAGGCCGCCGCGCTCACTCTCCTTGGCTCTCTCCATTATTCCTTCCCCAGGATCCTCCCCTGTGTCCTCTCCAGCCACTGCGTCCCGGACCCCCGCACAGTGGCGAGTCCCTGCAGTTTAGAAGCCCCGATGGCTTTTGGTAGAGCATGCGAGGTTTTCCGGAGGGGATGGCCTTTGCGTTAGGCCTCCAGGGCTCAGCAGGAGTCGGCCAGCTAGTAGAAGCCCTCTCTACCTACCCGGGGTAGGGATGGGGTTGGGGAAGGGACGCTGTGGCCGAGAAGAGGCTGGAAAGGGAGGCTTTGAATGTCGTGGTCAGCAGCTGAGACCCGACTCTGGGAGCAGGAGGGAGCCTTAGGAGGGTTTCAGGGTTCAAGAAGAGGTGGA